ATGAGCAGCCCGCACATTGCAATGAAGAGTCGCCCCTGCTCACCACAACTAGAGAAAGCACCGCAGCGGAGACCCAGTGCAGCCAAACATAAATAAATAAATAAAAAGAAGGAAAAAAAACATGGTGATTGTACCTCCCACCCCACACCGTGAAACTATGAAACTTCAAATGACAACAGCAAAAATACTTCTGGGCAAGGTTTGTTAGAGGAATAAGAATGTGCACAGAGAAACAGTCTGAGGCACAACCTAAAGGGAACACCAGAAACTCAGGATCCTACAGCCATTGCTTTAATGTACACCAGCCACCTTAGAAACAGGTATCTATAGAGATTTGAAATCTGTGATTCATGGCGTGTAACCTAGCAACAACAATAACAAATCATAAAACTAGTCCAATTACTAACTGGATTAATGGAACGGCTTCCTTTACAATTTTAGCAGAAGGAAAAAAGTGCCTATGACAGTGGAACTGGAGAGGTTAATTTTAAAAATGTACAAAGAATTTATACAACTCAACATCTAAAAAAACCAATCAGTTAAAAAATGGACAGAGAATCTGGATAGATGTTTTTCCAAAAAAGACATACAGATGGCCAATAGACACATGAAAAGATGCTCAATGTTAATAATTATCAGGGAAATGAAAATCAAAATTTCAATGAGTTTTGATAGCCAGTCAGAATAGCTATCGTCAAAAGAACAAATAACAAGTTTTGAGGATGTGGAGGAAAGGGAACCCTTGTGTACTATTGGTGAGAAAGTAAATTGGTGCAGCCACTATGCAAAGAAGTATGCAAAAAATTAAAAACAGAACTATCATACAATTCAGCAATCTCACTTCTGGATATTTTTCTGAAAAAAAAAAAAAAAACACACCAATATGAAAAGATACTTGCACCATATGCTTATTGCAGCATTGTTTAAAATAGCCAAGCTATGGAAGCACCTAAGTGCTGTCCATAGATGAATGGATAAAGAGGATGTGGTGTATGTATGCAATTAAATATTTTTCAGCCATAAAGAAGAATGGAATCATACCATTTGTGACAACATGGATGAGGCTAGAGGATAATATTCTAAGTAAATTAAAACAGAGAAAGACAAATGTCATATGATTTCACTTATATATGTCATCTAAAATACAAAATAAATGAACAAACAAAAAGACAGAAGCAGAGTCATAGACACAGAGAACTAACAAGTGGTTGCCGGAGGGAGAAGTATGGGGATGAATAAAATAGGTGAGGGAGATTAAGAGGTCAAATTTCCAGTTGCCAAGCAAATGAGTCACAGGGACGAAGTGTATAACGTTAATAATCTGATATCTTTGTACAGTGATAGATGATAACTAGACTTATCATGGTGATCATTTTGTAATGTGCAGAAATATCCAATTTCTATGTTGTATACCAGAATTAATATCATGTTGTAAGTCAACTGTAATTCAGAAAGAAACACAGAAATTCATAGGAAAAGAGATCAGATTTGTGGCTACTAGAAGCAGGGGTAAGAGGTTGGGGGATGGGGAATTGGTTGAAAATGGTCAAAAGGTAGAAACTTCCAACTATAAATAAGTACTAGGGATGTACTAGTATCTCAGCTGGTAAAGAATCCACCTGTAATGCAGGAGACCCCCGTTTGATTCCTGGATCAGGAAGACCCTCTGGAGAAGGGATAGGCTACTCAGTCTGGTATTCTTGGGCTTCACTGGTGGCTCAGAGGCTAAAGAATCAGCCTGCAATGCGGGAGACCTGGGTTGGATCCCTGGATTGGGAGGATCCCCTGGAGGAGGGCATGGCAACCCACTCCAGTATTCTTGTCTGAAGAAATCCCCATGGAAAGAAGAGCCTGGCGGGCTATAGTCCATGGGGTCGCAAAGAGTCCGACATTACTGAGCGACTAAGCATGCACAGCACTGGGGATGCAATGCACAATATGCTTAAATAATTAACACTACTGTATATTATATATGAAAGTTGTTGAAAGAGTAAATCCTAAGAGTTCTCATCACAAGGAAAAATATTTTTCCCTTTTATTTTGTATCTATATGAGATTATGTGTCTTCACTAAACTTGTGATAATCATTTCATGATGTATAAGTCAAATCATTATGCTGTACACCCTAAACTTATGTATAGTGTTGTATGTTGATTATATCTCAACAAAACTGGAAGAAAATAAAGACTGTGTGGTATTGGTGAAAAGACAGACTGATAGATAAATGGAATAGAATGGAGTCCAGCAATATACCCACAGAAATAATCAGCTGATTTGTAACAAAGACACTGCTGCTGCCACTACTATGTCACTTCAGTCACATCCGACACTGTGCGACCCCATAGACGGCAGCCCACCAGGCTCCCCCGTCCCTGGGATTCTCCAGGCAAGAACACTGGAGTGGGTTGCCATTGCCTTCTCCAATGCATGAAAGTGAAAAGTGAAAGTGCAGTCGCTTAGTCATGTCTGACTCTTAGCGACTCCATGGACTGCAGCTGACCAGGCTCCTCCGTCCATGGGATTTTCCAGGCAAGAGTACTGGAATGGGGATCCAGGCAAGAACACTGGAGTGGGTTGCCATTGCCTTCTCCAAACAAAAAGACAAATAAAGAAATGCTAGTCTTTCCAACAGATCCTATAGGAACAAGTGGATGATCATATATCTTAAAAAAAAAGGGGGGACTTCAATACATATCTCACATTTTATATAAAAGTTCACTTTTGTCAAGGTTCATATCAACAGTAATCATGCTGATATCATTTGCCCCTGGTATGATGTAAGGACAGTTACCTATGTTGATATTCTTCTCCCAAATCCATAATATCATCTGTTCATGAGAAAGCAGACAGACTGAAATTGAGGTGTATTTGACAAAATAGCTTACTGCGGATATTTTATATAATATTTTCAATGATTCTGTAAGTCTAAAATTATTTCAAAATTAAAAGTTAAAAAAAGAGAGAAACTGACATGAACTTACATATTATTTTTCCCTTGGAGGAGAAGCTTGAGGCAGACTCAACCCAAGGAGCAGGCAGGGAAACCAATCAAATTAGCACTTAAAGGATTTATACTTGATGCCATTAAACTTCCAAACGTTTCTTCAACTTAACTGATGTGCGTGAGGCCATTTCATTTTCTGTGCACAAGAACTTTGGTGGAAGAAGTGGAGCTTCCGAAGGCAGCATGCTGGCTGTTAGTTAACCCCTGCCTCTTACTTATGCCTTCAGCACTTAATTTCCACATTTTCCACTCCCAGGATTGCAGCTTGGGACTCTGATTCTCCAGGCTTGAGCCTCTTAACTTTACCTCTGCCATTTATTTCCCCAGATTTGTGAGCTTGTGTGACATTTACCAAGGTCTACCCTTCTGTCAAGGGCTTCCCTGGAGGCTCAGTGGTAAAGAATCCACCTGGCAGTGCAGGAGATGTGGGTTCAGTCCTTGGGTTGGGAAGATCCCCTGGAGAAGGAAACGGCAACCCACTCCAATATTCTCGCCTTGGAAGTCCCATGAACAGAGGAGCCTGGTGGGTTATAGTCCACGGGGTCACGAAAGAGTTTGACACGATTTAGAGACTAAACAATAACCTTTCTGTCAAAGCAGCCATAATGATCTGATTTCACAAAGGTAAGGTTGACCTACATTAAGGTTTTACCTGTAATGTAGGTGTTACATTCTAAATCTTAGTAAAGTCACAGAAAAGAGAAATGCAGACTGTGAAAGGAGGAGGTGTGGACCCCATTCACAGTGATATCCCCTTCTTGGGAACTGAAGCTGATGAAGACAGACCCTCACTGGCCATGTATTTACACCAGTCCCTACTTGAACAACCAGAATCTCTCTGCTAGGAATTAGAAGTTTGAACTAAAAGATACAGAAATATAAGACTAGGAGAAAGTGTAGGAACTTCTGCCACCCAGGGGCCCAGTGTTATCTTCATTCTACTGTTTCTGAGGCTTAGATATAACCTGTATTAGTACCTATGGCTGTTGTGGCAAATTACCACAAACTGGGTGACTTAAAACAACAGATATGAATTCTCTCATAGTCCTGGAGGCCACAAGTCCAAAATCAGGATGTCAGCAGGGCGTACTCCCTACAGAGGCTCTCGGGGAGAATGTGTTCCTCTCTTCCCTAGCTTATGGCTTTTCAGCTTGAAACCACATCACTGCCATCTCTGCCTCTGTCTGCACATTGTCTTTTCTTCTCTCTGCTCTGTGTCTCTTATGAAGACACTTGCCACTGGATGTAGGGCCCATTTGGATAATCAAGGATGATTTTCTCCTCTCAAGGCAACTTAATTACACGTACAGAGAAAGATGCTTTTTCTAAAGCACATTGACAGATTCTGGAGATTATGGTATAAACGTAGTTTGGGCAGGGAGTACCATTCACCCAAATATATCACCCTTCCAGTTAATGTTTTCTTACACTAAATAATGCCAATTTTCTAGTGCATGGCTGCATGCTCAGGTACTTCAGTCATGTTGGACTTTTTGTGATCTCATGGACTGTAGCCCGCAAGGCTCCTCTGTTCATGGGATTCTCTAGGTAAGAATACTGGAATGGGTTGCCATGCCCTCCTCCAGGGGATCTTCCCGGACCAGGGATTGAACCTGCATCTCCTGGGTCTCCTGCATTGGCAGGCAGCTTCTTTACCCACTGAGCCACCTGGGAAGCCCACCAGTTTCTATTACTGACAACCAAAAGAACTTAGGTAGTTTGGTCTCTTGATGCTAGTTATACGTGGCTTGTGTCATCTGTTTACTAAACTTGACTTCAGAAATTCTCCAACTTAAGTGTAATAAAAACTACATTGGAGCATGTTAAAAATGCAGATTTCTGCCCTACTCCCTAGAGTTTCTCAAAAAATTGGCCCAGGAATCTGCCTTTTTAACAGTGTTCCCAAATGGTCCTGATGATAAAAGAAAAGGAAAATTGTGAAACCTCAGATCCATTCATGCCCCATTCAAATAAAAGCAAGAGGAGAAGCGATGAAAAATAATTTGAAAACTTTAATTAATGATGCTGTTTATGTAGTAAAAACATAAAATCTTTTAAATAAGGTACATTCAATTTCTCAGAGCATCTAATATTCAGATAATTTATATTTCATACACTTTCCAACATTAAACAATTGACTACATAATGCATTTTCTATAAAATGGTATTACAGCTTATACAGGTAAAAGTATATTACAAAAATACTCTACACAGGAAGAATGGCAGTATCTATTAGGAAATGCTATAAACATTCTGTTAAAAATATATATTTTTATCTCTTTCATGTATCATAATAATAAACAGAATATATATATTTTTCTTTCTAAAATTAAGTCTTACACAGTTTCCCTTCAGGATGGTAAATATGTACAAACCTTATATCTGAATGAATATAAATAGCAAATACTATAATAGTGTTACAGATATATTAGTAACTTTTACAGAAAAAAAAATGGCTTTTAAATAAAAGCCTGAAATCTCAAAGCTATTTAAATTAGACATTCTGATATTTAGTAAGACACAATGGAGTCTCATTTCTTATTTCCAGTTGAATTACTGTAAGCAGTAACGAGAGAAAATAGAGTCAGTAGATACTGGACCAGATGTGTCAGCTGGATAAACTATTTGGGGTATATTATACTTTAGGGGGAGATACGAGTTCTTTCTCCACACCATAGTTTCTTTTTGGGCCCTGGGGTCAAATCTAGTCCTTGGTGATGAGAAAGAAATCATTGTTCCCTCCTCAAGCGCCTGAGAAACAGTCTACTCATTCATTAGATCTGGTCCATGGTGAGGAAACAGCTCCATGACCATTTCTGGTTATAAGCAGCTTATCTTTAATGAATGGACCTGATTTCCTATCATTCCTAAAAATAGCTTCCGATATAACCTGTACATGGTGAAGCTGTGAAGGAACCGGATGGTCTTCTTCAGACTCTGCGTGACAGTCTTGGGGAAGTGGTACGTCTTCAAGTGCTTTAGGGCGTGCAGCAGGCCCTTGCGCGTGTCCTGGTCGCCATTTTTTATCCTCCACAGGCTGAGCAGCTTCAGGAGTTGCTCACTTGACTTGCACGTCTTCACTGTTTTCTCAATGTCTTCTGTCGTCACTTTCTTCCCCGGCAAGCTTTCCATCAACTTTAAAAGCTGCTCAAAGGTGAGGTTCATGTGTCCAATGTGCCTCCGCACGGTGTTTTCACAGAGGTTGATATCTGAATGAAGCAAAAACACGAACATTCATTCACATAGTCTATCTAAAGTCAGTATAAAACGACCCTGAGGCAAAAGGGAGTTCCCCAGCACTTAATAATTTTAAGGCTAACCTCCTCCTTTCCTTTGAGGCTCAAGTCATGCTAGTTATTTCTGAGAACTGAGTTCAATATTATTTTGTGTTATAATAGGATAGTATGCTTTCTGTATTCTCGACATCCAACACAGCTTTGTGAAAAGCCCACATTTGGAAAATAACAGTGGGAAACTATACTTCAGTTTTCTAAGAAAATCTGGAGAAATGAAAAGCATAACATTTTAGAAAAAATACAGTCAGTATAAACTTTCATTAATTGATACCAATATATGTGCTATTTGAAAAATTAGTTGCTTCAAATAGTCTTTAATAAATAGCACCAGAGGATTATCAACACATAAGAGATCTGAAAATCCAATAATACGAGGCCAAGGAGATCCAACCAGTCCATCCTAAAGGAGATCAGTCCTGGGTGTTCATTGGAGGGACTGATGTTGAAGCTGAAACTCCAATACTTTGGCCACCTGATGCGAAGGGCTGGCTCATTTGAAAAGACCCTGATGCTGGCAAAGATTGAGGGCAGGAGGAGAAGAGGGCGACAGAGGATGAGATGGTTGGATGGCATCACCAACACAATGGACATGACGTTTGGGTGGACTCCGGGAGTTGGTGATGGACAGGGAGGCCTGGCATGCTGCGGTTCATGGGGTTGCAAATAGTCGGACATGACTGAGTGACTGAACTGAACTGACTAAAAGAACAGTAGGATACACATGGCCTAGAGAATATTTTGGTAATGAGCTAGGACATAAACATAGATGGAGTAAGTAATGTTTCTGTTGATGGCATGAGTCATTTAGTATCTGTAAGACCTAAGGCAAGTCCCTTCATCTTTCTGGGCTAAAAAGTCTTCATTTATAAAACAGGGAATTCAGTCCCATCCAATTCTGTCTCTGTTTCTCTCCTTTCCGTTCTTTTTGCTTCAGGGCTAATTATACTTTCAAAGAATACATTTTGTTTGCCAAAAACAGAAGACAAGTTTACTCTGCACAAGTGAAAGCATTCAACTGTCAAAGATGTTAGTCTCCTAAAATCTGTTGCTATAGTTTCAAATGTTTGAGGCTTTAGAGTTGTGTAGGATTCCTCATTTAACTACATGTGAAGAGCAGAATGGATTCTCATTAACACTGCATCATGAAAGCCCCCCCACCATTTTTTTCCAGCATGTCCTCCCAATGCTAATTCAAGTTAGAACTTTCTCTTCTGTGTATCCCAAAGCTTATAGTACACTCTGGATGAAACTTACTTCCTTTCCCCCTCTGTATTCACTCCCATCATAATACATACACACACACACACAGTTTCTAAAGGAGATTCTTTATAAAACTAAAACATGAGGATACTTGGATTTAACTAGCCCTTTTCTCCAAGAAGCTCAAACACTTTAAAGATCTTATCTCATTAATTCTCATGACATGTGCTATTAAAATGGTAATTTTAAAATAGACTGTATTGTGAGGATTAATGAGAGGATACCTGTAAGACACTTAGAGACTTTCTGGAGAGAATTACCAGATAAATACCACATAGTTTCTTGGTAGAATTGCAAGGTAAGATCTAAAATGGTTAAAGAACTTCTAGATAGATCAGACAGGATGCTCACACACCTGCTAATGGTTCCAGAGTCAGATTTCCTGAGGTTTATTCCTATATTAGAAATGTATTTTCTCCTTCTAGAGAGACAATTGAAAAATTGGAGAGCAGAGAAGGTGAAAATAAAACCTCGCATGACTGATCTAGGAACAGCTTCTCCTCTGTCATTTGAAAACTATTTCAGTCCAACAATAATTCCCAAAGGGAAATAGCATCCATACAACTAAACAGGTACATAGTCTCATTTCTGTTGTATGATGAGCAGATGTTCTGATTTCTGTTTGAGTTGTTTAGTTCAGGCTACCATACCTTGGATGATCTTCTTGACCATATCTTGGTCTTTGTTTTGATGCTTCCATAACTTCAGCAGCTGGAAAGTCTGTTCTCGTGAGTTGTGTCGCCGTTTTATCCTCTCTATGCTCTCTGCATTTACTTTGGTGCCAGGCAGATTGTCTACCAGGACACTGAGCCAGTTCGGGGTAAGCTTTGTAGGAACAGCAAACCTGAAGAATGCCTCCTCACACAGGGTCATGTCTAAAAGGAAGGTGGGAAGATTAAGAATTATTACTCAATAATTTGGGCTTCCCTGGTGGCTCCAATGGTAAAGAATCTGCCTGCAATGCAGGAGACCTGGGTTCAGTCCCTCAGTAGGGAAGATCTTCTGGAGAAGGTAATGGCAATCCACTCCATTATTCTTGCCTGGGAAAATCCCAGGGACAGGAGAGCCTGGTGGTCTATTGTCCATGGGATCACAAAGAGTCGGACATGACTAAGCGACTCACACTTTCACTTTCACTCAATAATTGGATTCTTGGATGTCTAATGGATAATAATAATAATAACAGGAAGAAGAAGAAGAAGGAAAGGGAGAGGAAGACAGAGAAAAAAAGGACAAAAACCAACACAGTTGTGTTTTCCAGAATATTGCATGTTAAAATGAAAAATTTGAATAAAATCAACCTTCTATTTCCTGGTCTTAAAGGCAGATTGCCAATCCAGCTCAGTCCCATGAAATATTCTTTTAGAATATTTTGGAGGGGAAGAATTTACTAAATGTCTAATAAGAATATAGTATTGCTATAAAAATTACAGCAAAAATTCTATTAATATAATATTAACATATTTTAATGTAACTATTAAACATTCTGTTAAAGGTTTAGCTGGTACCTAAAAGTTACTTCAAGACCAGTGTCAAATCATTGTCTTTAAGAAAGCCTGAAAAGTAACCTGAAATAGCATATTATTTTCTGCACACACACATACACATAGTACCTTTGGGAACAAGGATGGCTACAGAAGTATATGCATACATTAAGTGAGAAAATAGTCAAACACAAAAACTTGTCATTTAGAAAAAAGGTCCAATAAGCTGAGTGTCTGGGTAGCATCAGTCTATCCTAGGGATTGAGTCTGTCTTTGGATTCATTAGGTCTGGGTTTGAATCCTGACTCTGCCATTCAAGTTCATACATTAACTTGAACAAACTTCACAGTGTTTTTGTAAAGATTAAAACCCATATAGCAAAAGTGTCTGGCAAATAGTAAGTATTCAAGGAGTGACAGAAATAAAATTATAAATGAATTAAAGAGAATGTTAAAGAATGTTAAAGGCCTTTTACCATCCCTCCCCACATTCCATCATTTAATAAGAAAGCAGACAGGATGAATGACTTAGCTAAGATTTTTATAAAAGAGAGAAAAAATGTATGTTTTATATACATCTGTGTTGCACAAAAAGATGTTTGAAGAGAGTCAAGCTAATTAAATACTAAAACATCAGTCATCCTTGGTGTGATGAGTCCGTGGTAGGAGGTCTGAGATTAGTGTGGTGGTAGGAGTGACAAGATGAGGACACCAACCTGATTAGCATCATCACCAACATGGGGTGCACTCAGATACCTTGAACTTAGAGCTAGTGACCCTTCCTGAATAGAGTTTAAGATATGTACAGGAACTCAGTACTTCTGTGCAATGGATGCAGTAATACCACAGGCAACAAAGCCAGTATTGTATTTCTGATTTGTCATCTATTTTTATCACTGTGGCTCAGATGGTAAAGACTCCGCCTGCAATGCGGGAGACCTGGGTTTGATCCCTGGGTCGGGAAGATCCCCTGGAGAAGGAAATGGCAACCCACTCCAGGATTCTTGCCTGGAAAATCCCATGGACAGAGGAGCCTGGAGGGCTGGGACAGTCCAGGGGATCGCATAGCATCGGACACAACTGAGCGACTAACACAATCCAATCCAAGTACTCTCAAGAACTTGGCTTCTTAGTTGCCAATTTATACTTTGGCTAATAATACAGATGTGCTCAAAAGTGATAAAAATGCATAGCTTAGAAACATTCTGCAACTGGGACTCTGATAAGGTGACCTTCAACATAATCTTACTCCACCCCTTTTCTATGGGTAACGTGATTCAAGTGTGAAAGTCAGGGTTTGGAGCACTATTATAAGAAGATGGAGATTTTCTGAAAGATTTTTGAGTTGTGGCTTTAGCAATGATGCACAATTTGGTTAAAATTCAAGAAAGGGGAAATATAAGTTTAACTAAGAAGGACCAGAGGGTCTGGTATTCAACCCAGAGGTGGTATGGAGATTGATATTTTGAAACATAATTACCTATTCCACATTTGTGAGTCAATGATTCGCTGCTACCAGAACATATATTGTCATGCGTTGCATTTCCTTTCTGAGTTAGAAGGAGCCCAAATGCACTGCAATTCGTGTGTTTTCTACAGGGCTCTTTGGATGATGTCTCATTCGAGAAGAACCCATCTGGACATCTTTTGCAAACTGTATTTCGCTCCGGGGTTCCTACAAAAATATCAAGCCGTTTAGCACATTCTTCTCTAGTACTCTTGCAGCAGAAACCATCTTACCAGAGTTGGGGTAAGATGTTTCACTTGGTTTTTACTGCTACTATTATGTTGCAGGAAATTTCAGGCATTTTCATTTTTCACTTCATTAGACAGAACAAAACTTCTACAGTGAACCCCTTAGGCATTCTTTCCTCCTTGTAATACAAACACAAATGTGTTCTGTTGTTACCTACAAAGCACAAAATGGGAGAGAAAAGAAAAGAAGGGTAGGATATTCAATTAGTCCTGCCTGTGCTGAAGTTGTCAGGAAGATCTTGTTGTCAGCCATGTTCTCCACACAATTATCCCTGGAAAATCATAAAGATAACTGCTGCGTAACCTCTGTAATATCATTCTTTGAAATCAGTACCCGTGGTATGCCACATCGTTAAATCCCAATCGATTCCTACGGAAGTTCTTTCTTTCCTGAATCCTAATTGTGAAGCAATTCGTAAGTGTGCTAACCTCAAGAAGTAAAAATTTACAACATTATAATAAACTTTTGAAGGTGGCAATAAAGTTAACCGTGGACTCAAGCGTAAGCCTGCAGTTACATAATAAATGGAAGATGATATACCATTTGCTTAAACTGTTGAGTTTAAAAAGGGCACAGTCGTTAAAATTTCAGGCAAGGGTGACTGAAAGGGCATTTTCTTTCATGGTGGAAAGTTACTTGATAAATTTGGGGAAATCATTGGCAGGAAAACTTGAACCAGTCAACAACCCAAGATGCTATTAAAAATAAACATCTTTAAAACCCTTGACTCTATGCCTGAGTAGCTCATACATTATAGTGTATTTGCATATGAAAATACCTCCATCTAGTGTAAGCTAGTTGAACAGATTTAGACTCCAGTGTTCAAATGTAGCTTTTACAGGCCAATTCTAGCTGACACAAGATACCAAATACTAAAGAGACAAATGAAAGTTAGAGAAAGTTAATAAACTTCATTTATTAAAACTTTTAACCTCCCATCTCATTGTATCCTCTACCAAAAAAGGAAAAAAGAACACAATGGATTTTATTTTCACCTCTGGCTTCTTTCTTTTCTAAAGGGTTTGATGATGCATTGACCAGTAAAAATGACAGAAGGGTGGCAGAAAAAAAAGAAAAGGGGAGACCAAGCATGAAATTTTAACATGATACATGCCATTTCCAGGGTTGCAGTGACATCATCTTAGGAACCACCTTACAAAGAGGTCTCTTTTTTTTAGTACTTTCTTATCACACTCCTCTTCTTAAAGGGGAGCCAACTCCACACCAAATTCTACAGCATCATAAGCAGAGGTATTTGGGCATGGACTGCATGGTATTATTTTATTGTGAATATTCTGGGATCCAAATCTCCCTTTGTCAACTTCACAAAGAAGAATCCTGTCATTCTTCACATACGTCATAGGTCATAGGCACAGGACATTCTTCCAGGTAATTTAGCCTTTAAAGTTCCTTACCAAGAGGAATCCAAGAATTATAGAAGGAAAGTTTCTTAATATATGTGGAGGCTTTATGTAATGACCTTTCTAAAAAGGACTTCCCTCTCTCATGATTGATAGAACTTCTTATAAAAGGATGTATCCATCTAAGTAAGTGATTTTGCCTTAGTAATGTCAAGAGAAACACCCAAAGTATAATCTGGCAGGCAAAATGTGAAACAGAATGGCAAGAGGAATTTTGCCTTTCAGTTGAGAATTCACCATGCTAGGCATAAGCAATTACACAACTAACAGAACTAACTACAGTTGATCCTTGAACAATGGTGGGTTAGAGGACCCAAACTCCTTGCACTGAAAAACCCCATTATAACTTTATAGTAAGCCTTCTATAGCTAGAGTTCTGCAGTCACAGATTCACACAAATGGGATCAGGTAGCACTGTAGTATTATTGAAAAAAATTTGCATAGAAGTGGACCTTCGAGGTTCAAACCCATGTTATGTTGTTCAAGGGTCAGCTGTAAAATCTGAAGAGCAGGCAATCTGACTTCAAAACAACAGAGAATGAATATTAAATACTCTTTAGAATAAAACTGCAGAATCTTGCCTTCTCTTTGGTCTGGAAACCTTTTATTTTCCATAAGGAACTCCTTTGTACGTTTTTAAACAGAGAGAGGTGAGTAAATAAATAAATCTCTGTGTACCTTTGTGCTAAGACTTCTGCTGCCTGCCTACTTCATTCTACAAACAGATTTTCATGCTTATACGAGTAAAATTCTTACTATTTTCACTATTTTTCAAAACTTTCTAGTTTCCAAACTGCAATGCCCTGCTTAATGAGTTTTCCTACATATATAAATTACGGAATTGAACTAAATGCATCTGTTTCTGTTGGATGGGCTTTTCCCTCTACAACTTGGGTTAGTTTTTGAGTCCCAAATTGTCATCCAGTAAAAATTAGGAAGTGTCACCAATTTCTCCCTCAAAGACTTATACTAGAGGCATTTTAAGGAGCTGTCATGCAATTTGCACCTTCTGTGACTGATTTTATAAAATTCACAACTTAGGACACTTAATAGTCCAGTTTTTGAATATATTTAATTTGTATGTCATTAAACCTAAAATGTTGATAATAATTTAGACTCTGTATTGCAACTTCTCAAAGTCAAAATAGTTATAAGTAATTCACATCCTCTAAACCCACGGTTGTCAACTAGGGGTGATTTTGCCATCCAGGGGACACTTTAGTGGAAAGAGTACTATTTTAGCATCTAGTGGCTAAAGACCAGGGATGATGCTAAACATGCTACAATGCCCAGGACTACTGCCCACGAAAAGAATTATTCAGTCCCCAAAGTTAGTGCTGAGCCTGAGAAACACTGCTTCAAATTGAGTAATTGGAATCTATACCCATTACTACTTCCTCCAGAAGAGTGAGTGAATACTCTTAATTTTTCCAGGCCAGGAGAACATGCCGACTATACTGAAACTTCATGAATGTAGGGAAAAAAAAAAAGAGGTGGGTTGCAGCTTTAAAAAATTCAATGCAAACTGGCTTAATCTCTGCTCTTCAAAATGCAAAAAGAGAAAGTACTTTGTTTGTAGACAAGTACTTACTCTTGGCTTGCCAGTCTGTTTTGTCTAAGATAAAGAATAAGCTTCACAGAAGAGATGCTGCTATGGCCGTTATCCTCCCAGACACTCAACTCCCCTGCCAAAGGAAGAACTAGCTTCATTTTTAATAATGAGCTGCAGTTCCCCTAGCCATTCTCATTTTTTATATAATTAATTATAACTACTCACTGTTTGCACGCCAGAGCCTCATTAATATCAGCATAATTACTCTCTTGGTATCAATTAACATTTCTGATGTTTGTCCAAAAAGCACTGCACTCTGAGGCTGTCCATGCCAAAGTGAAACACAGACATATAGATCAGCTATGAATGGTGCAACTAAGAGCGTGTCCCTTTAAGAAAGAGCAATCCATCATGCATCTCATTAGAGAGGGATTTGCTGCATTTGAGATTTGTCACTAAATTGGCCCATCGTGGCAAAGTGCTCCTCTGAGGAATGGTTCTTTGGCAGCCATCCAGACACACAGTACATACCTAGCAGATTCCATTACCTTTGTAATTTGCTATCCTGTAGTGTCATCAGGACCAGCTTGTTCCCTTAAACTTCCCCCACTGACTGCCTCTGTGTGATGTTAATGCACGTGGCTGGTACATACCCGGGTGTAGCACTCCAAACCCAGGGGGGCAGCTCCTGTGCTTCAAGCAGAACTCCAGCTCCAGGTAGCGCCCCTCCTCACATTCACACACGCGGTTGTGGGTGCGGTTGCACTCCTGCTTGACGTACTGCAGCTCCTTGCACACGGGGCTGCAGTACAGACACTCGTCACTGGTGTGCCAGGTGTCCGTGTAGTAGTGGTCGGGACAGGGGGCGCACACGGTCTTCCGCCTGCCCGTGCAGGGCTGTTTCAGGAAGGTGCCGGGCGGACATTTGTCACACATCAGCTGGCGAGAGCTCTCGGGGTCATAATGAAGGTACTTTGGAGGAAAGGTTTCCTGGGTGGTCCATTTAATGGAGATGTCTAGGAACTAGAAGCAGAAAGGGAAACCGTGGTATGTTAGCATGGAAATGGGGTGATTCTTCTGTGCAAAAGCATCATTGACCTCAGAGTCCTTTGCTACCTGGAACCTCGTGCTCTTCCTGCCTACGGAGATCGGACCACAGAAATCAGGTTCAGAAGCCATAACTCTTGCCTCTAAGTAGCTTAATCTCCAAGGCCATGATGGCAGTACCAGCAAAGTATATTAGGAAATCATAGCTCATAGATAGCTGGAGTGGAAAACTCATCAGAGTAGAAAGTATTACACTTAGATGCACCGCTAAATAGCCTGTGTGCCTTGAGTAATATTTTATCTCCCTGGGTTTTAGGATAATCATTAGATTAGTGAGTTGGGTGAACTAGATTCTCAGGATAACTATACCAGGATCCCTTGACTCCTTGATAAAAATGTAGATTCCTGGGATTTATATTCCTAAAAATTCTGATTCTACAGATATGAAATTGGGACTGAGGGTTTAAAAATGTCCTGCAATGATTCCCACCTGTAGAACCCATACACAATAAATATTATTTCACTTATTCACTTGTTGATAGTTATGTACCAGGCTCTGTTCTGGGTATTTGGGATACAGCAGTGAATAAAATAGTCAACAAACTCTGTCTTATGGACTGTAATAACAAATTATACATGAATTATGTGTTAGAAGATGAATGTTGTAAAAAAGTGAGCAAGTAAAAGATTGGAAATATGGAGGGGAAGGTGGAGAGATTACAATCTTTATATGGGGTGGTGGTCACAGTAGTATTATTTAAGACCAGATATTTTTCTTTTAGTTTTCCGGTTCTAAGATGTAATGATTTCACATATATGTAAGCAGTTGGTGATCATACTCACTCTGGTCATTCATTCACTCATGCTGCAGATATGTACTGCATGCTTACCAGAAATATGCTGGTGGGAAGATGTAATCTTTGTGCAGCTGGGAGTCTGCTGGAAAAGTATTAAAATTTTAAGACTGATATTTCCTCCAGAACATCAGTGCAGTCTTGAATCTCATAGGTGACTGATGTTTAGAAAATGAAATGATCACCTCTCTTAAGGTTAATTGGGGAAAACTTGAGGGAGCAGTCAGGGTCTCAGAAGTTTCTATCCATAATGGCTGAAGAGGTGTGTGCATAGTAGAGAGACAGTTTTGTGGGCCAGAATCCTGCTTTTGAAGTTGGCTCCAAATGAGTATTCTATCTTGTATTCTAGATCTCAAAAGGTCTTCAAGGGAACACTGAAGTAGCTCTTCACACTAATTAAAAGAAAAAGTGTTGTTTCTGTGTAGGGGTGGTTTGTTTGGCTTTTATTGTTTGTTTTTGGAACAGGGATCAACAGTGACTATTTTCAGGCTTTTGGGAAGTGACAGGCCAAACACAGTAAGTTTTTCTAAACTCTCTTCTTTGCAGAACTCAGGAAATCTCACAGAAACCCTTTGACCTGGGGGAAAGTGTGCCAAGCTAGACACATAGCACTCCTTTTTGAATGAGAAATGACAGAGGTAAAGAAAGGCCTTTTTCGTAAGCATCTGGGCATTTTAATAAGCAATAGAATCCACCTGCCATTACAGGAGATGCAAGAGATGTGGGTTCGATCCCTGGGTTGGAAAGACCCCCTGGAGAAGGAAATGGCAACCCACTCCAGTATCCTTGCCTGGAAAATTCCATGGACAGAGGAGCCTGGTGGGCTACAGTCCATGGGGTTGTAAAGAGTGGGAAATGACTGAGCATGTATACACACATGCCCTCATTTCTTATTGGGACATGACTAGCGTCAAGGCTGTTTGGACCTAATATGAGTTGATAAACCAGAATTAAAGAGTAAAATATCTTACCTAGGGCCACAGACCTTTTAACTGAGAGCAGTTTTCAGAGTGCTATAATGTAAAGGACCCCTAACCAACAAAGGTAGACTACAGTGGAAAATTGGGGCTGCCTCGATATTTTCAAGACACTCTCATGACCCAAGGGTTTTGGGGAAAAGGATGTTCCTGAATTCCCCTAGGGCTTTTTAATTGGCTCAGATAAAGTGGGTCAACAATAGGAGAAAGAAATTGACCAGTAATGAGTGAAAGCTCTGGTTTGGTCTGTATCTTTCAGAAATCTATTCATTCAACATATGTCTCTTGACCACCCACTGTGTACCAGGCATTGTAGAAGGTCTTAGCATATGGTGACCTACAAAACAAGGATGCTCTTCAGACTGCTCACAGTCTAGCGAGGAGAGAGAGAAGTGAAGAAATAAATAATTACAGATAATGATAAATCTTTTGAAGGAAATGAAGCAAGATGAACTAACTTTGTTGCTACTTGGTCATTCTAATAATATTGTACTATATTTTTCAAGGCCCTTTGTGTAGGTTTGGCTCAAATATTTCTAACATCTTCAATGCTAGGGAATGAAGTATTCCTGATGCAACTTGCAAAGACACAAGAAAGCAATGAGAAATGTTTTTATTTTTTTCTCTGTCTTGATGTTTGCTTTCTATTTCCTGAAAAGCCACTTTTGAGGGTTCTGTTTTTTCAAGAGGGCCAGCTCAGAGATCCAGAGGGAGGCATTCATCTTGCGTACTGTGGCTGAGTGAGCTCCATCCTGGTAGGGCTGGCAGTCCTGAGACTTAACCCTGCCTGATTTCCCATCATCCTGCCTTTCCCATGACAACACAGCTCATTTACTCATTAGCTGACTCTTTTCTCTCTTACCAAGAAGTGATGAGGATGAAATGAGAGAACCCCACAGATGGTGCATGTGTTCCTCACTAGAAGCAGCCACACAAGTACAAGATCTGACTGAGAATACTGATGCAATTTGTATTTTTCTAGGCAATTGGACATGACACTGTTGGTTTTCTAAAACCATGCTTAAGAAATTAGTTGCCATTTCTTCAAAATACAGGGAAGCTGGGGTGAAAGGAACCCATAGAGAAAAAAATAATAAATTAGGTTGACTTAAGGATTAGAGAGCAATTATAATAGTGAAGATCATTTCCCTTCGGCTACCGCCTGGAATTATGATATACATTTTTAAAAATCGGAAAGCCTTAAGGAACTGCAGACTTGTTTTCAGCAAATTCTATCAGGCCTCTGTGATTTATTTGAAAATTTTCCACTCTGGTAAAAAGACAGAACTCTGTGTGGCCAAAATTGGATGCTTAGCTCTCCATCTCTGGTTAGCCTCAATCCCCGCATGGAATTTCTGGAACCAGTTACTGGACAGAGAATGGGCAAAATTAATAAACCTCTTCATCTCAATCCCCTCTCTCACTTTCTTCTGCATTTTCTAGAAAAGCAATGAAAAATATGCCAAAGGAGGACAGACCATCTCAACACTGGCTCTGTGTCCTTTGCCAGCTGATAACATTTAAAGTCTAAGAACAGTACAAAAGTAATTTTTGTGTGAAGTACATAAACATTGATGAATATCTGCAAAAGCCAGGACTCATGCATAGGTGTCTCTGCAGAAGCCTGAAGTATCCTATATTATAGTTTCCTATAAGAGAAGCTGCTTTTTCATGCTGAACTTTTTTTTTAATTGGAAGATAATTGATTTACAATATGGTGTTGTTTTCTGCTGTACATCAACATGAATCAGCCACAGGTGTACATAGGACCCCTCCCTCCTGAGTCCCCTCCCATCTCCCTCCCCATCCCACCCCTCTAGGTTGTCACAGAGCACTGGGTTGAGCTCCCTGTGTCACACAGCACATTTCCACTGGCTATCTATTTTACATGTGATAATGATAAACATTAAAATGGAATTTTCTCTCCATTTTTTCTTTCTCCCTCTTCCCATTCTGTATCTGTCTACCAGCTACAAAAGAACAAAAGTAAATGAGGAACTATCCCAGGTCACAGTAATTAGTGGAAGCAGAATTAACACCCAGAGCATGTGCCATAGAATAGTATATTTTGACCAAATCCTTTAACACTGCATAGCCCTAAAATGCTAGTTTTTCATTCAGACTCAAGAGCATAGTGTTAGGAGATCACAGAAGTGAGATCACCCAATGCCTTCCTGAAGTCCAGATGAACGGATGATGTTTCTTTCTTTGTGCTAAGAGTACCACCTGTCCAAGGTAACTGAGATGGAAATTTCTTAGATGACATGTGATTTCAGTATAGCTGACTATTGATATTTGCTTCTTCTTAAAGGATACAGGAATATATTTCCTCCATCAAGTTTACTTTTGCATGATGCAATGCAGTCAGTCCCCTGCTACTGTGCTTGCTCTCTGGTATGTAGAACCACGAGTGACCCAGTGGGTTTCCGTTTATGGAAAATTCATTAAAAGGAGCCCACACAAAGCTTGAAATAACTACTTGGTTTGGGAGTTCCTTTTGTGATCCCTCGTCATGATCTTTGCCACAGAGAACTATTTGAGGACTACCAGAGTTAGCTAAACTTCTGGTCAATTTGGAAACCATGATATTTTACAGTTCATCTTAGCCAAGAAAAGAAACATTCAGGGTATATACCACAGTGAGTTTCCTAAAGATCTCTTGTAATATAAACTACAAAGCTTATAAAAAAAAAAATTCTTTTGCTATGAAGGTTAGCTTATTTAACTTTCTATAGTCTTAAGGTATAGTGGGGCTTCCCTGGAGGCTCAGACAGTAAAGAATTTGCCTGCGATGCAGGAGATCTGGGTTTGATCCTTGGGTTGGGAAGATATCTTGGAGGAAGGCATGGCAACCCACTCCAGTATTCTTGCCTGGAGAATCCCATGAACAGAAAAGCCTAGAGGGCTGCAGTCCATGGGATCATAGAGTGGGACACGACTGAGCAATTAAGCATACACATGGTATAATGAGATCTTCCCTATTTCCTCCAATCCTTAAATTATTCATTTATTCATTCATTCAGCACTTACTGAAACAATTACTATGCTCAGGAAATATTGCTAAGCAATAGAGCCGAGTAAGTTAATGTTCCTATTTTCCAGGAGAATTCATCCAAAAGCCTCTGTTGGTATAAAAAGTCACAAATTACTGCAAAACAATGAGAGGGAAAACAGAGGGAAAAAGGGATCAAGAAAAGACTCAATAGAGAAACAGGTCAGAAATGAGAAGCTGAAATTAGGTAGCAGTAAGGAGGAGAGAAAAGATAGATATTATATGTTAGCTGATTGCCCATGGAGGGAGGTTCTAGAAAGAGTAAAGGAGGACATGCCCATGAATTATGACTATTAGGTATGTGGTGTTGCTGTTAATTATTCACAGCAGGAGAAAGAAGTGGTTATGGAGGAAGACAATGAATTTGGTTCTGGGTCTTCCAACAATGAAACTCAAGTGATGATGTTGAGTAGACACTTAAATATATGTATCCGGTATTCAGGATAGAAATGCAGCTAAAGACACAGATTTAAAGAGATGCAAGTTCGATCCCTGGGTCAGGAAGATCCCCTGGAGGAAGGCATGGCAACCCTCTCCAGTATTCTTGCCTGGAGAATCACATGGACAGAAGAGCCTGGTGGGCTACAGTCCACAGGGTTGCAAAGAGTTGGATGCGACTGAAGTGACTTAGCACAAGGTTATGAGCACATAAATGGTTCCAGAAACACAGAAGTAGGATGGCATTACCCAAGGATTTTATACATAAACCCAAAAAAATATTAAAATATAACCTTTGGGACTTTACAAACATTTGTAAGATAAGATGAAAAAGAGAAGGAAAAAAACAGTAGGGATATTACAGAAAGTTTCAAGAAGAATGCTAAATGGATGATGAATAATAAGATATGAAAAATGTACAGCTTTTAGATCCATTAGATTGATATGAACTAACCAGATCTCTTTGCTGGGAACCTGAATACTAGGGTTCCAAACTCAGTTCAACCACCAGCTTAATAACCTTTGGCCATTATCTTAGCTCTAAAAAGAGATAATTCTTATTTCATCTATTCCTATGCAATTGTTTTCAATTGAGTAAAGGGACACAAATAAACTTGGTAAAGAATAAGATTCCAGACAAGAATGAGTCATGACTACATATGCTAATTACACAGGAGGTGGGAAATAGAGAACATTTTGAATCAGATTCATTTTTGGAGACATTTTGAAGTCTCTTGTTCAGTAGGAAGTCACAAACTTAAAATGTGCCACAGTCAGTTATTTATCCTATTCTTAAGTCATCTCCAGAAAAAGCATCTCTGACTCGTTTTTAAAATCA